ACAAACCCAATATTGACAAGTAAAAAGGCACAGTCCCGATGTTACCAAACCACACGGCAGGCCATTGATTCGAGTCCATTGAAAGTCCCAAGGTCGATGGAACATGGCAGGCTGTTGAACAATGACATGGCTACATGTGGAGTTCAAGTGTGCCATAAGCTAGAAACCATTCCCCAATGGTTCTCCTTATATCAAGGAAGCAGATCACAGCCTGAAGGCAGCTAGTCAGTTGCTCACAGTAGATTCCACTATGGAGTTGATTACCAGTCTCATCATGGGGAAAATTACATCCACCTGCCCAGCCACTCAACCAGGCCCAGACAAGTTGACACACAAACTTAACTACCACAGTGTGTAAATTTGAATAATGGTCATATTAACTGGTCTTCCTTGCAGGTGTATGGATATTATCCTGTCACTGGCCACATTGTACTTCAGGATAGATCTTAAATTGTTCCTTTTAACAGTGAATGCAATGCCATTCTTTCTCAGTTTGTCATTTTCAGCATAGTTGATCATATGATTGTCTAATTCAAAATGGCCAATACCAGTCCATTTCAGCTTGCTTATAATTTTCACATTTCAATCATCAGTAATAATCCATGCATCTTGATTGTTTGTTTCATCAATTTCAGACTGCAAAGTTGGTAAAAATCTGCTATTTCTTCATCTTTGGCCTTAGTTTTACTGTATAAATTTGAATAATGATCATATTAACAGGTCATCCCTTTATGTATATGGATATTATCCTGTCACTGACAGTGGTTTACTTCAGGATAGTACCTATTCCAGTATTACAAAAATAATAGAAATCATCCATTTTCCAAAGAGTCCCTGGGTAGGTATTGTAAATGGTCAAGCACTCAGCTAACTAACCAAAAGGCTAGAGGTTTGAACCCACCCAGAGGAACCTCAGAAGAAAGGGTTGGCTACCTACTTCTGAAAAATCAGCCATTGAAAACGTTATGGAGTATGATTTTATTCTCACACACATGAGTCACAACTGCTGGCTTGGTTTTTCTGGTTATTCTCATCCTTGGCTTCAATCTGAAGGTAAAATAAGAAAGTACATTGAGAATTATACCACATGTAAACAGTATGTTTAAATATAATACATCTACATGAATGAGGATAGAGATTAGTTAGGGTTTGTGCATGGGAGAAAGTAATGAGGGTGAAAACATAGGTCTTCGTCCAATCTAGAATGTAGTTTAAGCTAACAGAGGATAATATGTAAGAAAGGAAGATCCTGTGGGTTTTAGTGAGATAAATGGAAGATCTTCATGTTAGGAAGATCATGTTGAAGATTTGGGGTGGTTGCAGGGAAGAGATCCTGGTTAGGAGACTTTCCCAGCACTTCCGGGAACATGATGAGATTCCAAGGTTCTAATTTCATATCTGCCTATTGCATTGTAGGGCTATCTGTACATGGGCATAATAGAACGCCTCTCACCAGCTATTCACATATCAGAAATTCACACATTGTTTATATTTGGTTATCTGAAAATATTTTCAATAACTGATTGAATTTGTTCCAAACTGTATTCCCTCTACTGAAGCTATTAGCCCAATAGCAAGTAAATGGCAAGATTTAACCAGCCTAACTCAATTGTACCACCAGCTTCTTCCTGGCCTTACTACTCTATTCTAGGATGAAGTCGAAGCAAAACATGCTGGTATTGAGACTGCTATACGTCAATCAGTTTTCACCAATATTTCCTCATCAGGAATTTGGAACTTGCTGTTCACTCTGCCTGGATTGCTCCTCTCTCCCATCTTTCAGTCTTCTGCTCAAATAGCACCTTCCTGCCCACCTTTTCTAAAATATAACCCTTTCATCTCTAACTTCTGGGCTGGGTTTATTTTTCTTCATTTCACTTGCACACTTTCATGCTAGATTATGTAAGTTTCACAAAGGCAGGGCCTCACATGATTGTGTTTTCCACAGTACCCACAATTGTGTTGGCAAAATACTCCTTTAAACTTATGCTGTCAAGTTGATACTGATTGTGTCCCCATGTGTTAAAAAGTAGAACTGCTCCTTAGAATTTTCTTGATTTTAATCTTTATGAGAGCAGATCACCAGGCCTTTCTTCCATAGACCACTGGATGGTTTGAACCACCAGCCTTTATAGTTAGCAGCCAATTGCAAACCATTTGTGCCACCCGATGACACCCATCCACTGACATTTTGGGCAAAATCACAGGTGCTCAAAAACTTACTGAATGGGTGAGCTATGCAATGAAGTTGAGAGTAGTTGCTAAGACACATTTGACAGCATCTCACACAGTCTCCACAGTGGATAAAAAGCTCATGTGATGAAATCCTCAGTCCTTCCTAGTTAGGGTGTGCCTATAGATCAGAACCAGATTGGTGAGTGGGAGGAGCAAGAGCTGTGTTCACACAGTTTCTGCTATCCTTTTACAGATTCCTTATTCCTCTGGGCATAACTTGAATAATCTTGAAAAGACTTCGCCCATTAAATGAGGACACGTATTCTATACAGTGATTGAGAGAACTAACAACAAGCTGTGATGGCACATCATAGGTGTGGAGGGCCTGACTTGTGGCCAAGGTACTACTTCACATAGTGTTTCATTGTGGTGTAGTTGCTTGGCTGTGGAGTAGCAAACTTAGAATAATTCTCACTCACAACAGCAACTCCTAAGGCTCTGCCTCCTCCAGCATCTTGAGTCTCAAGCCCAGTGTCAGTCTGTGCCACTGTGGCAGAGAATGATCTGGCCAGAAACAGATTCCAGCCTGATCATGGTCTCCTTCCATGTTATCTTGAATGTCCTTAAAGAAAATACAAGTTTGTATGTTTTTTCTTTTAAAGAAAGTTTTGCCTTTGTTTTTTGTTGGTAGGGCAAAAATAGAATTTTAGTATTTATCAGTACTAAATATCAGTAACAAGATCTTAATCATCAGAGGAAAAGTGTCTTGAGTACTAGCCAGAGGAGAATGATTGGAGATGAAGAAAAGTAAAACCACACGAAATACCAGTTTTGTCTGTTTGTTTGATTTTATCAAGGCCTCCCTAAAAATGTTTGAAATTATGAGACAAGCAAGATGCAGTTATTTGCCAGAAATCCAGTATCTTTAAGTTGTTTGCTAGGTGCTAATATCTCAGGCCCCTAACCTATGCTTTTTGAGATGTTAGCCAAAGCATAAACAAGCATCACTGTCTTGTCTCTACCCTGGCTCTTTACACTAGAGCAAGACCCCCTAATTCATCTAGGCAGCAGGCATTCAATGCTCTGATATGTGCCACCAGCTGGAATTGAAACTGGAGTAGAGCATATTGCCAGTTGAAGCCCTGCAGCTCCAAGTGTGGTCCCTAGACTGTAAACACATAAGGAAACTAAGGAAATCAATTTTAGGCCCCATTCCAGACCTACTAGAATCTGCATTTGAAAAAATCCTCAAGCGATATCCCGTCACTTTAAAATTTGTTCTCAAAAAGAGAGATACAGGTGATTCCAGTAAAAAAAAAATGGCAAGGAAAGTGTGGGCTCAATCTGTATCTATATCTCTCCCACTGCTAACAGACATGTATTATTTAATTCTACTACAGGTCACTGTCATCAATACTTACTTTGCTGAATGTTTCTACCTTTGAGTTAGCTACTAATGTCAAGTTTTAAAAAGGAGATTCTGTTAAGGAAAGAAGTGGTGGATCAGTGGTAGAATTCTTGCCTTCTATGGGGAGACTTGAGTTCAATTCCTGACCCACACATCTTAAACACAGCCACCACTTGTCTATCAGTGTAGGTTTTAGTATTTCTGTGATGCTGAACAGCTTTCGGAGGCATGGGAGCCTACTTTTCAAAGTCTGAAAACCCTAAGGATCAAAACAGTCTGATCCTTTTGTGCATAGGGTTGCCATGAGTGAAGTCAGCTAACAACAAAAAGCACCCTTTAGTCAACTACTTGGCAAGATTTAGTTCCACTCATGGAACACACAGATGCCTACTTGTGATTCTAAGCACCAGTGGACACAAGGAAAGATTTCTATTTCCAAGTGGAAACTGGTGCTTCTAGTTTTTCAACAATAGACTAGGCTTTGTACAGAAAACAGTATGAACTTGAAAACAAAGCAATCAGGGATTTAAGTGGGGCCCACTGGCTTAGTTTTGCAGTCTCAGGCTAAGAGGTGCAAAGATTGGACTGCTAGATTTCACAAAGAGTTCCTGAGCAGCCAAGGAATCCTGAGTAATGAATTCTTAAACTTCGGAAGGTGGTACTGGAGACAACAAAGCTTTGTGGCTATGTTGAAACTTTCAAATTTTATTTATAAATAGAAAATATATACATATGTATTTTAACCTAATATAATTAACAGGTTTCCGGACTTCTCATACTTTCCATTTTGTACCAAATATTAAATCTATAGTCCACTATGTCAAGGAACAGAATACAGTAAAATGTTAGTCCCTTCATTCTCCTTCTGGCTTCTAGAAGAGAAACTCTTGAGTAAGCTCAACGTTTACACCAAAAGTAAGTGATAAAAAATACAAGCATGAAGAAATGTAGATATATGAATCAATCGGGTTATTTCATTCCATAAAAACCATTAAAGCTGCTGGTATTTCCATGGGTCTACACCAAGAGCTTCATTCAAACATAGCCAGAAATAAAATGGCCTCCTGTGAGTTTGCATGAAAACGAAAAACAGATTTTTTTTTTAATTCTATTGATGCCAAATTTGTTGATATTTCAAAATATTGTCTCAAGGTGTTAAATGTACTTGCAGATTTCAACTATCTGTGTTATTGTGCCTGTTCAACACGATGCAAAAACTACCCTTTGGAAAGAAAGAAGGAAAGGAAGCTCTTCATCCAAACCAGTTATACGAAGTCACCCGGATTCTATTCCCAGCCTTGCGCTTGTGAGCAGCAAGGCAGCAGTTCAGGGTTGGGATCTAGGGGGGCGAATCCTTTGTCACCCTCCGTCCGTAATTCAGGCTAGTGACTGAACAAGGCAGACTGAGATGCACCGTTTAAAGGTCGGAGTCACAGGGCAGCGAGCTGTGGCAGGGCCGGGTGCTGCGCGAGGAGGCGCCTCGAGGCTGGGCTGCCGCTTCCCCGTCCAGTACGTTCACCGGATTGGTGTAGGCCTTGGGCGGCGGCCGCGGCATGGGGAAGCCGACCTTGGGCTTGCTGGCAGCGCCCCGATCGGTGGGCCGCGGCCGATGCTGGCCGTCGCTGTAGTACTTGATGGCGGGCGTGAGCGCGGGCTCGGGCCAGTCGACGTACACTGTGCTGATGCTGCTGCGGCGCTCGCCTGCGGGAGGCGCCTTTCGGCAGCTGCGACAGCGCTCCTCGCACCAGGGCGCGAAGCTGAGTCCCAGAGAGAAGCCGCCCCAAAGCAGCATACAGCTACCCAAGTAGCCCAGCACCAGGCTGTAGCTGACCTGTACTGTGACCGGGCTTGGCGGAGCAGGCAGCACCTCGCGGTCCCCCAAGAAGTGGTTGTACCAGGAGACTGGAATGAGACTTAATAGCCCTGCGGCGAAGAGCACCACTCCCGAGAGGCCGGCCAGCACGAAGTGGGGCTCGTCCTGCCAGCAGCGCACTCCAAGCGTTGCGAGCAGCAGTCCCAGGGCCGTTGTGGCCAGTGATGTGACCATGAGTCCCCGAGCCACGAGCACGGGCTCGGCCGTGAAATAGTTCCACTTGTCCTGCTGGCCGCACTCGCGCTGGGTGCTGCTCTGCTCGCGGCATATGTCCCACAGGCCCTGGTACAACACCAGGTCTACGGGCTGGTCCAGGAAACCCTTAACCAGCCGCCAGCCGGGAGCCAGCGTGCTGGTCAGGTTAAGCAGCAGCCCGCAAGGTGCGAGCACCATGCCCAGAGTCATCACCACAGGCGTCCGCATTCCGCTCGACGGCGCACCTGCAGAGTTCTCCGCTGACGCGTCCTGGAGAGCTCGCTCCTCACACGTTCCTGCGCGCCCAGAGAGCGCCTGGTTCCAGATGTCAGCGTGGGCGCCTTAAGCCGGCGGAGTCCAGCAGCCTTCTCGCTCCTGGCAGCTCTTTGTCTCCCGCGCGGCGTCCGCGTCTCTACGCTGAGGTTGCCCCTTGTTCCCTCCTCAGGTGCTGGTCGCTCCGCCCTCCCGCCCGGCTGCCGACTCTAATCGAAACCAGCTCGCGGGCGGGTCAGACCGAAACCCGGGCCCGAGGTGCCGGCGCCCAAAGACGACAGCAGCGGCCAAACCCGTCCTGCGTGGGAGGGGCCGGAGGTAAGAGTAGAAAGCGGAGGGAACCCCCTTGGGCACAGCGATCTCGGGCTCAGACCTTGGATCCAAAGCACCCCGGCTGGCAACTAAGCAGTTCGGGCCCCCCCTGCCGGGCTGGGTCTGCTCCTATACAGAGCAAAGGTCGCCCCGCCCCTGGCTCCTCCGCGCTCCCCTGAGGGGCCGGGCCGGTTAGGGGCGGAGAAGGAAAGGGGCGGGGCGGGCGGACGACCGCACCTGTTTCCTTGGCTGCTCAGCTTCTCTGTGTCAGCGAAGCACTGTTCCGAAGCTGTTTCTCTCTGTCCGGTTGTCGGTTGGCTCAGAGGATATAACCTGTCCTCCCTCCACTGGCGGAGCGACTCACAGCGGTTATCTGATGACTCCTAACGTTTTGCTTTGTTGACTTCAGTGGTATGGGTGGCCCCAAGTGTTCTCCGCGGGCTTGAGATGCGCTGGGCAAGTGTGTAGGGACTTCACTCCAGCCTGATCTGGAGAGTCCATCCGGTAGAGAATCAAGTCCCAAAATGTTGCACTTGTTTAATAAACTTTGCTCTTTTTTTGGTTAACAAAGGCTCCATTTTAAAATTTTCTTATACACTCAGGATGGTGTGTACTTAAAAGAATCAAAGTGAGTGTACTTTGGGTACGAGGTTATACAGGATTTTATTTTCTTTTTCAGATTTGTAAAAGACTTTGAAGTGGATGAAAAACGTGGGAGGTGGAATTTACTATCTAGCACGTCTATCAGATTACATAGAGTCCTTTGGTCATTAATTGTCCTCGAACTATGTTGTAACTATGTGCATTATAGAAAAACTATTTTTGACCATAGAAATGCAAATGAATTTGTCCTCGTGGAATATAACTGACTTTTGCCTAAGGAACGTAAACCAGTTTTGTAATCATTTTAAAATTCCTTTTCATGTGCCTATTTGCTTATATATGTGTGTTCTTTGAATTCTCTCCATTGAGTCAGTGGCAACATCTTCCTGGTTTCCTCATTAAATAAAGAATTAAAATAAATCTTTGACACCTTTTTTTTGCGTATTTGTGTGAGGAGTCATGGTTTTCCATTTTTTTGACAATTGACTTTGAACCGTACTCTCTACATTCCTTATTTCTTACAATGGATGTCTATTACCTCTTCTTGTTTGTTATTGTTATGTGCTATTGAGTTGGCTCTGACTCATAGTGACCCTTTATACAACAGAATGAAACACTGCCTGGTCCATTATATCAGTGTTTCACTGCTTTTCATAAGGTTTTCACTGGCCAATTATTTAAGAAGTGGATGGCATCTTCTTTCTTCTGAGTCTGTCTTAGTCTGGAAGCTCCACTGAAACCTGGCCACCATGGGTGACCCAGTGACATAGCCTCCAGCCTCACAGCAACATGCAAGTGGCCAGAGTATGACACACTGACAGATGAGTGGTGATTTATTACCTCTATAAGCAGTTAAATTAAAATTTTTTAAAAATCAAAGTTAATTAAGTATTGGTTTGAAATAATTTTTAAACTGGGCATTCTAGAATGCCTAGTAAGTACCAACCAGGCAACCATTGCTGTGCAGTCAAATCCGACCCATAGCAACCCCTCCTTGGGTTTCCGAGGCAACCTTCCTTCTGAGGAGTGGCTGGTGGGTTTGAACTGCCAGCCTTCTGGTTAGCAGTCAAATGCCTTAGGCACTATGCTACCAGAGCTCGCCTAGTAAGTACCAGGGAATGGGAATCACTACTATTGCTTTAAACGGATCTTCTAAAAAAAAAAAAATCACTGCTGTGGAATTGGATCTGACTCATAGTGACCCCTCTTGGATTTCTAGGATGGTATCACTACAGGTTCTCAGGTTGTTAATGATTCTTCCTCCAATCCTGATGCCACGTTTTTCTTCATATAGTCCAGCTTCTCGGATTACTTCTCAGCATATAGATTGAATA